TAAATGTCAGCTGTCATTATAGTTTGTCATTGACAATTTTTGTTGTTTTTAGTGGTTGGTGTTAATTTCCTATCTGAATATGTTAGTAGAATAAATCAAATGCTATCTGTCCATTGTCTTCGGAAAAGTTTCATAAATGACTTGGTATAATTTGTTTCCAATTTATTTGGCTCAGAACTTCTGCAGTGTCTGCAAAGTTACTGGATCTTTATGTTGCTAATGTGGGTGCTGGTTTAGTCTTGCAATAGAATGAATGAATTTATTGGGAGAGCGTGGACTATATTGTGATCTGATTTCCCAAGTGATGGAAGGTTTATGCACTTGTATACTGTTTTTGGAGCATTCGTAAGTATTATGTCTAAAACACAGTTTTGTCTAGTTGGTTTGTTATTCAATTAGTGGAGACTATGTGCGTTGGTTATATTTTTGGTGTTGGTACCATTTAAGTCACTAGTTACATATATCAGAAGTTTGTTATTGCGTGTATTGCTTGAGATAATATTTTCGATTTTGTGTGGGAGCTGGTAGACTAATCATTTTTTCTTGTTGGCTACCCACTCCGGTATGTATGTGCATGCTACAATGCAGGACGAGTAACCTTGTGGTAATCGTTGGGGGTAGATTCTTACTAGAGTGAACTCTACCTTACCAATTTTGTTGTGGTCTTTGACCCATATTGGTAACTCCATTTTAAATGGTGTAAGTGCGATAAATTTTTTTGAGTAGCTTTTTTTAATCAAAACTAGAGTCCCTCCACCTTTTCGGTTGGTGCGTTCATTGCTAATTTTGAAATATTTGTCATTAATTTTGTTAAGTATCATGGTTTTATTTTGGTCGTTTAACCAGATTTCCGTAATGCACACTAGATCAGCCTCAGTGTCTTTCATGACTTGGTTGATTAATTGCGTTTGGTTACAAATCTATAGGGCATTTGTTACGAGTATAAATGGTAGGCATTTGGTTTTTGCTGGGTAAATTTGTCTGCATTTGGGTTAAGTGGTTTTTGACAGAGTTTTGTTTGAGAAGATTGACAGGACTTAGGTAGCAATTTGGTGGCTTCCACTGTAAAAGTTCATAATTAGTAAAGGGCTTGTTTCAGAGTATTGTTATTGACAAATAGGTGTCTTTGAGTGTTGTTAACTAATATTTTCTTTGTTAAGTAAACACGCCTTGGTGCGTTTGATCTTATAACAAATCTATAGTCTTTATTCCCTGCAGTCTTGAGCGCTTTATTGGCTGCATGTCTTTTTACAAGCATTTCTCAGTATTTAGGTTGTTCTACTAGAGTATGGTCTAGATGGGTTGAGATGTATGCATAATTGGAGTTTGCTAGTTTCTTTGCTGCTGCAAGTATTGCATTTTTATTTTTGGGGGTTTCTAATTCTATGACAAGTGGTTCAGGCTTATTTTGATTTCCGTTAGATAGGGTTAGTCTAATACGCTTTGATTTTATAATTTGAGTTTGAATTTTAATTGTTCCTAGAAATTCGTTGGTAAGGTTGATATCACTTTTGTTAGGATAGCTTAGCATGCCAAATATGACAATGTTTTTTAACTTGGACTTTTTCAACTTAGCGTTGGCAGTTATTGCAGCAATGACCCCTGTGTTTGTTGCCAAACCTTGCTTTATTATTTCGCTGTAAAGTGGTTTTAAGTTGGTTGTGCTGTTTTTTGATATGTTGTTTTAATTGGTTTATAATTATATCTGTTGCAAAATTAATTTTCATAAATTAAGTTAAATGAAGTGATATCTTGTTTTAGTGCCTATAGCCATTAGTCAAGTAGAGCAACTAAAGGTTTAGTACCACTGTGTGTCGAATCAATTGACATCATAATAATTTATTTACATAAAAATAATAAGTTTTTCGATTAATATATAAGAATGTTCATTTTTCGTATATTTCTATATTACTAAAATTATCCCTATGTATAATTATATCATAATATATAATATAATATAAATATATTTATATAACAAACTTCCTTTATACATATGGTTTCTATATATACGCGGAAGAGCTTACCGAAAAAATACAAAAACAAACAGAATAAAAGCAAACAGATTAGTGAATGAGTAATGGACGCAAATTCAGAAAGTGAGTAGAAAGAAAAACTAACTTAAAACTGAGTGAAAAAAAATCTTCAAAATGCTAGAAAGAAATAAAAAAGACTAATTTACATAAAATAACAGACTCTAAACTAAAACAAACTTAATAAATCCTCGAAGGTAAATATATGCAAACTTAAAACTATAAGTAAAGATGAATATATATATATATATATATATATATATATATATATATATATATATATATATATATATATATATATATACACAACCCTCGGAATTAGGGTCGGCATTCGGCAATGCCGACCTAACTGTTAACCTGAAAGTGTTTGAGGTCGGCAAAAAATTGAAGACCTCGTTTATATGTTTTATGATCAGACCTTTGTATCAAATAATTTTTGCAGACCTGGGGTCAATGTTATAAAACTTTTTATCGGCGTAAAATGCTACAGGCAGAATATTTACTCTGGAATTTTTACAGCCGTAAATTTAGAGACGTAAAATGTTTTTTTATTCAATGTTATAAAACTTTTATCTCGTAAAATTTTGCAGATATCTATGCTCTGAATTTATTTTTGGAAATCTACTGTCCGAATCAATAACATAAAAGGTTGTCAAAAACAAAATGTTTTTGAGTTGAAAACATCAAAGTTAACAAAAATTAACAGTTTCTTATGGATTTGGACTGTTCCAATTCTGATGAAGAATATTTTGTTGTTTTAAAATATTTGGTAAATCAGAGATAACCACGAGAAGTAAAACTGTTCAAGCGGTATTTAAACTGTTAAGAATACAATTTAAAAGTAAAAAAATGGAATTGTCTTTAATTTTTTACCTTACTTGGTGTAGTTAAGGCGATTTACAAAATATTTGAATATTTTATTTGGAATTAGCATGGTTTTGTCAGCAAATTATGCCCAAGCAAGATCTTTAAATGTTATAATTTTTTTAGCTTAAGGTTTTTATAATATTTGAAGAAACTTTTCTTTTTTATATATAATTTTAAAAATCTTTTTACAACCCGTAATAATGTATCTAAAGAACACTATTTTGGAGTCTTTAGATCAATTTCACTCATCAACATTAACATGAATTTAGTTAAAATCTTTTTAAAAAGTTACTTAATTTACTACTGATCCTAGTTCTAATCGGTTCTGACGTATATTAACTATATATAGTTGTCAAAACACAATATTTCTATCAATTTTCACAAAAAATACTGGAATTCTGACCAAGAAAGGACTTATAATTATAAATAATTGCCAATAAACGATCAGAACAGATCATATTGTTAAACTATAATGTTCATTTCACCTAAAAAACGTATTAATATAAAATCTTATTTAAATTTGGACGAGCGATTGTGATTTTAAGATGATTTAAAAAAAAAAAAAAAGATTCCACAGTCTGGGTTTTTTTGCTACAAACATTTATTTTATATGATACCGCAAAATTTATTATTTTAATTTTTTTCGTCTTTTCATAATTCACAGACCAGACCATTTCACGGAAATATGTCATAATCAACAAAATACCATACAGATGCTATAATATTTTAAAAATGCCTTAAATACACCGAGTACCCTATAACAAAATTTGTATAGCTTTTCTATAAAAATAACTTATACTATTTTCTATATAGAGGTTTCTTTAGACCAGAGTTGTTATTCTTTAGCCTTAACCTTGCCTGAAGACCAAAAACTAAGGCCTTGGCCTTGAAACTTTTGGCCTTGGCCTTGAAGTTTTCGGCCTTGATCTTGATTGTTTTGGCCTTGATCTTGATTGTTTTGGCCTTGGTCTTTATAATAAAATACATAAAATTAAAGAATTAAAAGTTTTTAAATTATTTTTTTTTACCTAATTATTAAGGTAGTTAATCATTCTTTATTTTGTAAAATTGTGTTGATATAAATATAGAAAGTCTATACACATTTTATATTATACAATCTATACACATAGAAACACATATTATACAATCTATGCACATAGAAAATCTATACACACAGAAAAAATAGGAAAAATTGCATAAATAAACTTTTTAAAAAAAGGACTTTAAATATTAAATAATTAAAATAATTATTCACTAACTCAAATTCTTATAACAAAAATTTATTTAGACACAAATAAACATTTAAACATAAAAATCTTTTGGTGCTTTCTGATTAGAATTTTATCCACAATAAGTTTTCACGTGCTTCCATACCATAGACAATATAAAAAACTTTGGAAACAAGTTGTACATAAAGTACATGTCTAAACACTTTCTGAATAAGAAGAAAAATCTTTGATCTATTTTGTTATCTGACTTTATCAAAAATATTTGAACTCATACCATATTCTAGCATCAAAGGTAATTTCTAAAACTTTAATAATTCTGTTTATAGTTTGACCACTTGTTTTACTATTTCGAATTTCAAATAACCTCTGCATAAATTTTAAATAGAGAAATTTCTTTTGCCTGTCCATTTTAAGTGTGTCTAAAACTAAAGTTGATCTGATTTTTGGATAAAAATGGGGTCATCCATAAAGGGGACATTAGCATTATCAGGGGCGTTTTGTGTACCCCTTTTTTGCCTACCCATTTTTTGTCCCCATAAGCATGGTTTTTTTGTCAAAAATATGTCATCTTAAGCAACTTTTATAAAGAACAAAAAGTACATACATTGACTATCAAATTGCCAAGAGAGTGCTGCTACATCGACTGAGGGTTTGATGAAATTAAAAATGAAATATAATCATAAATAAATATAAAATATAATAATTTATATATATATATATATATATATATATATATATATATATATATATATATATATATATATATATTTATATATATATATATAAATATATATTCATATACAAACCTATTTATGTAAAATTAGTATAGCTTTTTTAAATCAATGTTGTAAATACTCATATAAATTTAATCTAGTAAAGCTGCAAAATCAAGAAGAAGTGACTTTAACACGAAGAATAAAAATAAGTGGAAGCATAGAAAATGTTGAGTAAGATTTTATTTTATTTTTGTTGTCGATATTTATTTGTCGGAATACATATATACATATGTATTAAAAAACATATTAAAATACATATTAACAAAAAAAAAAAAAAGTAAAACGCAGTAAAAAGTGCAAGAAAATAGATTACTGAGAGTCTAAAAGATAAAAGTTATTTAATAATTTAGATTATAAGTTAATAATAGTATTTTAAGCATTTTTAAATAATAAAATCTGATGCTAATCCTGTTTTAGTTCTAAAAAATGTTGGAAAAAGCTTGGCAGTCATTCCATCATATTTGATATAAGTTCCACTAGAATTGATGAGATATATCTGATGATAAATTTGATGCATTCAGTGCTACAATTGTATCTCAGTTTTTTATTTTATTTCAAACCAATGTTTTGACAAATTACAAAACAAAAAAGGAGTAAATATTGTGTAGTGTTTAATATAATTTTATAGATTTGTTTATGATTTAAGTCTTATTGCACTCTTTAACTTTTAAATAGAACATTGAAAGAGTAAAGTATAGCCAGACATTCTTTAAGCTTAGATTTAAGACCTTGTAAATGTTTTTTTGTTTTATGTTTGGTTATTAAGGTACCCCTAGAAGTCCATATGGTCATATCACCATTGAATTGTGTACTGTTTGGTTCTAAGCCAGGAATCTAATTACTGTTAGATTGCTGTGACTGCAATTGTAATGTATCTTTATGTCAACTAATCAAAAAAAACTATGGAAATAAAGTCTGAAACAATGCATTTTATTTGTTTAACTTTAAACAAAAATCAATTATGCCTTGCTAAAAGTGGTATAAATCCTACTTGGACAGTTAAGTCTGCATAGATTGTCATCATTTATTAACTGTTTACATATTTGTATAAATATTTTGTATATTTAATGTTTCACTTATAGTTGCAATTGGATCAAATACTTAAGCAAATTAATATTAAGGTGGAAAAATTTGAACTCAGAAATACTTATTGATAAAAAAAATAAAATAAAGTAAATTTAAGAAATATGTTAGGATTGAAAATAGAGTTTTTATTAATTTATTAAAAATATCTTTACATGAAATAAATTAGCTGAGAATATTCTGATAAAACTGGGATGTATTTCTGTCTCATTAGATTTAAAATATCTCTAGGCTACTTTTCAACTTCTTAAATAATATAAATAATATAAAATACTATAATATTAAAATAGCTTCATTTTGTAGATATCTGCGGAGAAAGTTCTTTTAACCTTAATTTGACACATATACTGACATTATCAAAAAAGTTTCGGTATTGTTCCAGTAGGTCTAACAATATAGCATGTCATTGTAAACAGTTAATAATCTTTTCATTTAAAATTTAGTTATAAAGTAGATTTCAGATATAGTCGTGGGCTGGCCAATAGTATTAATTCAAATTAATAAATTCTATTTATTCCAAAAAATACGTTTTTTTTTGTATTAACAATAATTTTTTATTAACTGGTAGAAGCAAGCACTCTACCACTACACCACTACCACATCAAATTTTTCACTTATCGCATCAAATTTTTCACTTATCGCATCAAATTTTTCAATTTTTGCACGGAGTTTCAATAAAGATTCATCAGAAATTAATGATCTAAATTTCAATTTATATCCAAAATAAATTACAGGAAGTCATAAATTTTATAAATACTGTAATATTTTATGCATAAATGGAATCACACATTTGTGGAATGACACTATTATAAAAAGAATTCTTTAGAATTATTTACTTTGCTTTTTTAAATATATTTTTTAAAAGAGTTTTTTTATTATTATTATTAATTAATGCTCTTGAGATAAAGCGCCAGGCAATATCTATGACAGCCGGTATAAATTAATTAATGAACAAGTTAGTTCAGTCACTAAATAATAAAAACGTCAATAATAAGCTTTTTTGGTTTTTATCTTGTTTGTTATTGCTTCTAAGTTGACCGATTGCAAGTTTAATTTGAAGCTTTTAACTGTAGTAGATTGAACAACTTCGGCTGGTAGACTATTCCATCCATCGACAACTCTATTGCTGAAAAAATATTGCCTTTTCTAACATTTTCTGACCAATTCAGGTTTCATTCGATGTTTTGCTCCTCTAATGTTAGCTGCAGGACCTGATGACCAAATAGAGTTCATTGTTTGGTTTTGTTTAATATCAATGATTTCAATACCTTTAAATATTTTGAATTGCTGGATCAAATCGCACCTTAGCCTTCTAGTCTCCAAAGTAGTCAAACCCAAAATTTCTAATCTTTTTTATATATTTAATAAATATTCTTTGTTTACATGTCAGGGGCTAGGTCGTTTTCAACAGCGTCGACTATATTTGGGCGGCACCTAAATTAAAAATTGAGAACCTTTTTTTTTTTTTAATGGCAAATATTGTTTTTTTTGTGAAAAAACGCCGATATTTGGCAATATTTCTGCTAAATTTCTCCATGACAGGGATGGGTTACTGCTGCCTAAATTTTTTTCTTAGAATAGCTAGTAC